GACTATCCCAGGGATCTCTGGATCACCTGTGTGCCAGCAGATCTGATTCTAGCATGAAATCTGGATGAAGAATTGAGATCAGAGGGAGAAAACTGTCAAAAGTCCAGCTGGGTGAGGCTGTACCGGGAAGGGGGAGGCAGCCCCGTGGGGAGGCTGCAGTGGCAGAACCCAGCTCCCACCTCAGTGGGCAAGCACAATGGGAACCTGAGACAGGTGTGGTAGGTATCTCCCTCTATGTGGAGTCAGTCTGTCAAGCAGACAGCGTTCTGCCTCCAATGTTCCTGTCTTTTGTTCAGACTGGATTTCCTGGGATATTTTCACATCAGTTTCTTAAGAGAGTATTGCCAAATCCTTTCTGGTAACTCCTGCCAATGAAGACTGGGAGTAATCACTAACATGCTTTCTGGTTTGTTTTTTAAAAGAAGAAAGTCAAAAGGCTATTTGGTATTAGCCTTGGAGGAACTTTAATGTTTATATTAATAGAAAAGATAGGTATATGAGAGAACGAGGACATCTCCTCTTCCCCCCCCCCAAAAAAAATGGGTTGTAGAACTTTACAGTTTTGAGGTATATCATTCCAGGTATCAAAGCCATCAAAATAGCTTGTTGCTATATAAACTTTCCTACAGCATTTGCATTGTGAACGAATTCGTTATTTGGGCCCTAACTACTCCAGCCCTTCTGTGGGAGCTAACTTTGTTCCTGGTGGCTGCTGCTGCGTGGAACCCAATGTACTGAACTCAGAAAGGAAGCCTTTCTATAAAACATGAGGCAACACAGATAAGTTTACCTACTGTCAAGTAGCTGTTTTCAATCATGGACTACATGAGTGCCCTTGCCCCCCAGCAATAGCAGGCCACGGAGGCATCTGTGCACACTACTGTCTTTTTCCCTTCTAAGTGGGAGATGTCTAGGAGTTAATCATTGTGAACGATACTGTGGCAATATCTATAAGCATATCTCTAATCATCTCTGTGTGCTTTTTCTTCAATACATTTACCTTTACAGTACATTTACATTACCATAACAGAAAGCTTTATTTGTTCCAAGTGTGTTTTTTTTTCTCTGATGGTAAGAAGAATTTGGTGCAACTCTTTAGATATGTCCCCATAAACCATGAATTTGCATGTCTCAGTAATAGAAATGCATGCATGAACTATATATTAGACTACGGAATTATCACTAAGGTTCTCTCCCCCCCCTTTTCTTAAATCTGTGTGTTGCTAGGAGGAATACAATTAAATTGCTCAGTGGAAGTGACAGAGGAAATCAGAAGAGCTTGGTGTTACAGAATGTAATTAATGTACCAGGGTGTTTGGAGATATATGAAACAAATGCAATTAACCAGCTTGCCGGAACGGCAGTAGCAAGACATCATTTCTTTCCTTTTCCCTCCCTCTCCTCCCTTTCTCCCTCCCTTCTCTTCCTCCCTTATATCCCTCTAGCTTTGCTTCCTTCTCTTCCATACCACGTTCCTCTCCCTGAACACACACCTAGAACCTTTGTCATTATTTAATATTATAGGATAGGGGGACAATTTGTTTCTGGGTCACAATTATGCAGCTGAATCCATTAGTAATGTAGTGAAAAATGCCCTGGGTTGAGGAATTGAGACTGAGAAGGCGATGTTAAATTTTGCATGTGTGAAACTAGTTTTGTATTTAGCATCTGCTGTGTCAAAAGTAAAGGAAACTGTGACCACTCTTACTGAATTAGTATGTAAATCATATGTTTGACATTGGATTGCCTTTGGATACTTGAGAATGATGACAGCCTCTCCATGGGGATTGTTGAAAATTTGGGATGTGGACAACACTGCCCTCTAGGCTGTTTCAACACATTGAGACCCGGTTTTCACATCTATAATGAGTAGGTTGGTTTGTAGATCTCTAAGCTTTTGTTGTTCTTTCAAGATTCTCTGATTTCTATTTACTTACTGTCCTCCTCAGAGGTACAGGCTTATTCTCCACATGAATTTCAAATTTAGGAAAGCTTGTACCATTTCAAAGATATACTGACTATCCTTGTGCTAGACACAGAAATTAATTTTATTCAGTGACAAATGATACATAGATTTGCATTGAAATTTGCTTGGTGGGTTATTTATATGTGCATTTTTATAGCGCATGAAAAATGTTAAGAGTTTTGCCTTTTTATGGAAGATATGTGTTAATATTATTTATGATTTTTCAGTGTCCTGTCCCTGTAACAATCCATGGAGATTAAATATTAAGTTACTTGAGAACTATAAACAAACTTTTTTATTTGGGTTCTAAATATGGATTTTTATTTGTTACTGATTAATTAACTGCATATACAGATGTTTCTCTGCTGTTACATAGAAGAATATATATTTAATTTAGTCTCTGTTTTCCAGACTTTATTTCTGAAGAATAGTATCTCGCAGTCACTTACAGGAAACTAATGTGAACCATCACAAGACTTCTTAATTACTTCCATATTTCATACATGTGCCAATCCAGTAACTTTACCATACTTTTGGAAGGGTGTTTTTAAATTGACAGTGGTTTTCTCATCTTTACTCTTTAACTATTATTAAATGAAAATGGCACACGATATTTGGAGAGATAAAGATAATGTGAATGCACAGTGCAGATGTATAATCTCTCATATACGTTTATACATTTTGCTAAAGTGCTTCTTTCAGTAATGCGCTCATTATCATAGCCATATGTAGCCCATTTCAGAACTGAAATTGCATATAAGTAACCTGAAATTTGCTCTTGCAGCTATGCAGTAATATCATTTGAATTGGCTTTGTTTGAATAACCTTTGATGCTATGCAACATGTGGACCATAAACTAAAAGGATTTCTTAGGACATTAAACAAGAATATCTTAGAGAAAAAACAATCACGATTATACAAAAAGAACCGTTCTGATCCATCTCATCTCTGAGCAGCCTGTATGAAATAGCATCTTTGACAATAAGATTATGAATATGTAAGCACATGGCATGAATTTGGATACATATATCATAATGAGGAAGATAGTATGTGTCTAGTAATATCTGCTTAGGTAGTTCCTGAGTTCTGTGGAAGATAAATTTATTTCCCACATGCAATCTAGTTTTCCAAGAGTATCAGGGAAAAAGAACTTTCTTCTACTTATTTCTCCTTCTTTCTTCCTTGTCCTGTCATTCTTCTTGCTCTCCGCTTCCTTCTTTTTTGAGCCAGTAGAAGGAATAAGTGAAATATTTGAAGGACAGAAAAGATAGGTAAAAGTGTTTCTTGAATAATAAATTAGAAAATCTGCATTTAAGGGAGATATGTTAATAATGTTTTGCCTTTGAGTATATCCAATTGGGTTTTGAACTTTCTCACTTTTCCTTTACTGATACTACATATAACTTTACAAACTCATTTTGTATAGATCTTACCTACAGATAAACAAAAGTCTTCAGCTCTGAGTTCAAACAGACGATGGAAACTTATAGGTACCATTTTATAGATTTATTTTTGAAGGCAATTATTTTTTGTTTCTTACAGCGTCTTCAGTTCTATCATCCTAAATTAGTGTGTTGACATAGGTATTGATTTTCTTCCACTTCTTTTAATTATTAAATAATGAGTGAATGATTTATATAAAGAACTTTAAGGAGATGTTTTTATGAAAACTCTTTCAATGTTTTCAGCAGCATGTTAAACCATGATAGAGAGGTAATACAGCATCTGAAGAGTCACATAGCCAAAATACCTATCGCCATCTCAAAATAGCGTCAGAGAAACCTAGGCCTAAATCATTATTGTTTTCTCCTCCAGTGGCAGTCAATTCTTAGGATCTTATTTTCCCTAGTTCTGTGGGTTTCAAATACACATTTAGGTTGATGTTTCTGAATGACCCTATTCATTATGCAGAGGAGTGTAAGTTCCATGAGGACACAACTTGGCTTTTGTATTTCTAGTGCCTGGTTCAGTACTTGACATATCCCCCGACTGTGTGACATCTCTGTGTCTAATGAGAAAATATCAAACTCAAGTCCATGACAGATCTGCTGTTTTCCCGTTGTTTCCACTTCAACAAATAGCTTTGCTATTCACAGATATTTTCATGACACAAAAATCATTTCTGACTGTTTTCTCAGCCCATATTAAAGTTTTTAGTGTTCTTTGAAATCTGTCCCTGATACCAACCATTTCATGTGTATGTTTGTGATTTTTCCTGCATCATATATAATGAGCATTTTTTAAAAGAGAGATTTTTGATATAGGGTGTATGTACTTGCTGGAGAGACAGAGACAGAAAGTGAGAAATCACCCCCCCAGGAGGGATGGCCACACCACAGTCCTTTCTCCATTCTCTTTGGATTTTGGGCTCACACGCACAAGCACCCAGTGTGGGTTTAACCCACTGGGTTCAGGACTTGAACCATGGCCAACTATGTGGGAGTCCAGTGATGTAACCAGTAT